CACCATTCAACCATCTTAATATTCGCATTTCTGTGGAACAGATCATCATCTTCATTGCCCAACATTCAGCGCCAGACTGTAAAAGTGAACTTTCCCTTTTAATCTTACTGGTATCTTCTTGTCGCATACTACACCACTTCTCCCTCTCCATTTAAGCCACGCATTTATTATCCCAGCTCCAATTTCATCCTCCATTTCCCCCACTTTTCTGGATTCTGGAACCCAAATACTTGAAACTGTTTTCAGTACTGTCTGGCCATCTAGTTTCAAGGATAATACTCCCGTGTTCACATTACTGAAATTACATATCGTGTACTCTGTTTTTCCTCTGCTTGTTTTTAGACCATGTCTCTCCAACACATCTGTCAATTTTTCAAGATCTTCTTCTAGACCATCTTTCTCCTCACTATGCAGAATGACATCAGCTGCAAACAACATGCACCAACGTGACTCCTTCTATACGTTCCTTGTCAGGGTATCTAGCATAAGGATAAACAAGAATTCAATGCTGATCCCTGATGCACTCACACCTTTACTGATGAAGGGTTTTCACTACTAGACGTTCTGACTGTTGACATTACACCTACACACATGGCTTTAACATGCTGCACATAAAGTTGTGGTACAATTTTTCTCCCTCATACATCACCAGGTGACTTCTCTTGGAACTCAATCACAGATCTTTTCCTGGCACGAAGTCGCACTGATTTGCATTAATATCTGCTTATTTTCTTAGTCTCTTATCAGTGACTCTCTCCCACAGTTTTATGTATAACTCATCAGCTTTATACCTCTATAATTAGTACAGTTGCCAAGGTCACCTTTTGCCATGTATATCAGCACCAACAAACTTTTCCTCCACGTGTTAGACATTTTTTCCCGTCTCATAATTTATTTGATTACAGAGATGTCAGAAGATTCTATTCCAAGCTTATTCCTTCTACTCCAACCTTTTTTGTGCCTCAACAGGGATTCCTTCTGGGCCCACGGCCTTATAATTTTTCATTTCTTTTACAGCATTTGCCACTTCATCTGGTGTGATAGGCTCCACTACACCTAAGTTCACCATTTCAAAGTTGCATTGCTCTCTTGGGTTTTCTTCATTTAAAAGCTGTTCAGAATACAGTCTCCATTTATCTTAATGCAACTACCATCAGTCAACACCACACCAGGTTTATCTTTGATGAACCTCACTTCCTTTATATCTTTAGTCCTTTGTCCCATGCTTGTGCCAAGTCTTTGTTCCTAGTCTTGTGTAAAGTTCCTCGAATATACAAGTACATTTTGCAAGTACATTCCTGGCCAATTTCTTTACATCCTTGTATTCCTCCAGGTATCATTTGCTCCTACTCATTTGCCAGAGTCTGCTATAGCTGATTCCAAGCCCAATTGAAAAAGAGGAGGATTGGTGTCAGACTGGTAGCCAACAACAAAAAATTGCCAAAAACTGATACTACTTTAAGACTTAACCATCTTGCTTAGTATTTTAGAACAACGTTTACCTGCTATGCAGCAGCTACAAATACCCGCAACCATCTCTCCCTTTATAAATGCCACACCAAATCCTGTCCCACTCACACATCTGGTACCCATTACTAGATACAATTTCAGGCTTTGATCTGCACTCTGAGACAAGCAAGCCCCCACTAAAATCAGTAGGTGTTTTTTCATTTATTTCAATAGGTGTTAAAGTGGACCTTTTATGATAAGTCTGCTCTGGACCCAGTACTCTGCTGATACCCACCTACAGTTGAGTTGTACACAGTCTAACTTGCTTTGTGAAACTGTCATTTGAAGTAACTCAAACTCCAGTGCAGATTACAGCAAGCAAAACTGAAGGAGAGGCAGTTGAAATTGGCTGATGCAGGCAAAAATCTTGGTACAACGCTACTAGCTTACTATGCTAAAATTGGGAACCCAAGACAGTCTTATAGCACAAAATCCTCTACTTACTAAAACCATTTCAAGCCTTTTATGAGCAAAGTTCTCATGAATTCAGTGTGAGTTCACCTGTAGATAACTTGTACAATCAGACCCACAGTGCAAATTGTTTAACATCACCTCAAGATGAGAGAGTTAGAATCCTTTCACACATACTTCATCACTTTACAGTATGAAATCTTTTATGCATGAGTTGAACCACAGGTAACCATTCCACACCAGGGAGTTCTATCCACTGAAGTTAAAGCTAGAACTATATTTATGAATAGTACAGTCCATAATCTTGAGATTTAAACAGTAATAATTTTTAATTATTTGTATAGTATTAATGGCATGCTAGTGATTTCCCAGACAGGTTCAGAGATAGATACCTGACAAAGAATCTAACACTTAAGGCCTGTTCTAAACAGAGTTGCAGTGGTTTAAACTGAATGTCTTTTTAAAAAGTGAATTTAGTCAAACTTTGTGCAAATTCCTGTATAGACATTCTTAAAACCAATTTAAAGCTGGATTACATTGTTTTAATTTAAGTCAGCTCCTTAATGCATGAAACTAAACCAAAATAATAAGACATTGACAATGATTTATGTTACGTTAAGCCAGAATTTGTTCAGTTAAATAAGAGAGTTTAGAGTAAGCAGCAGAAGTGTCATTCCCCAAGAGTCAGTTTTGCAATTAATACTTTGGAAAGTATAAAAATAGCTGAAAAAACAAAAGACTGTTGTCCTAACAAGAAACCAGGATGCTCAGTTTTATTTCATAATACATCTTTACACTGGTTCTTGATCACTTACTGAGCGTATAGTTCTACATTAGAGAGTATAAAGAGATATCATATTGAAGACATGCAAGTATAAACTGATGGAGTTTAATTGTGAAAATAAACAGGCATGATTAAAATATCAAAAATGTCCCACCTCCCTCATTGTGAGTACATAAAAAAAGAATGAATGGTTTTATCAACAGAATTTAGCGTTCTCCAAAATGCCAGTGTGCAAGTATGGGCCTGGTAGACATGGACAAAACTGCCTGCTAGGATTATTACCAATTAGTTTTTCTGCCAGAAGCTGAGACTGGAAGGCAGGGAATGGATCACTCAATAATTGCCCTGTTCTTTCATTCCCTCTGAAGCACCTGGCACTGGCCACCATTAGAAGACCCGATACTAGGCTAGACAGACCAGTGGTCTGACCCACTATGGCCATTCTTTGTCCTACAGAGATTTCTTGTAGGAAACCAGGCTAAGTGAGGGATCTTTACATATGCACATTTCAAATTATATGATTTGTTGTATATGAAACAAAATATTGTAACTAAAGTCAAAGGTCATGTCATTATATCATACCATAATAATTCTATCACCTGTCGTAAGGTGGGTTCAATCTAAGCAAGGAAGCTGTTGCAAAGACAGGGGCTGCACAAAATAGTTGTCTCACTTATTCTTGCAATAGGTTATAGCAGATATTTTCAGAAGAATTTTAGTGCATCCATGCACAGATGCCTTTAAAAACAATAAATTCTTAAATTCCTGAAGGAACTATCTCAGAATCCAGTACTACAGCAGGGAGCAAGGGATTTTGGGAAATTTCCAAACACGAAGCATTGCATCGTAGGATGGAATTAGGAGGACTAGTTGAACCAGTGCAATGATTGTCAATTCTCATACAAATGGAGGAAAAAAAGTGTATAAAGCACCAATTCAGCAGGACCTGAGCTGAAGACTTAATTCTAGATGTTGCAACCAGCTACTATAAGTAATGCTTGTAGAACAGCTGGGATGGCTGTTATGTGGGGATGTAAGACATTGTAAGGGAATTATTCTTATTTCTTGGTTACTTGGCACTTCACAGTAGACAAAGAATGAGTCCCTGCCCCAAAATGCTTACAGCCTAAATTTAGATGAGAGTAACATCAGCATAAGCACATTATTACATATTTTAATGTGTGTATTTATATTTAAAAACCAAAAACAGATCTAAGATAAAAGCAGTAAAACAAACTGTTGTTAATTTCAAGCACTGTGAAAAAAAGTGAGGTTTATAGTCAAGGTACTATATTTTCACCAAGTGAAAACAAAAAACTGCTGTATTTGAAGACTCCTAGATGTTTTGTGTTACTGCTTGACTTTTAAGTCAGCAAGTGACTATAATATCAGTTTTCAAAAGTGATTAAAGTCAATTACATGACTTTGTTGTAATTTTAGTTTAATTGTTAACAACTAACGTCAGTGCAACATTCACTCGAAATAAACATGAACAGAAATACCTACAGTATAGCAATAAAAGTACAGCTATAGTTTTCCATTTTCAGCCTGCTGCCTGAAAACTTTCAGAATGCCCTCGACTTCCAGTTGACCAAGTGATGACAATTTGGAGAATGCTAGGTTATAATTTTCATGTTAGAAATTCCAGAAGACAACACACAAAAGAAATAGACGAAAGACACTGTACAAATATCAGAAATGCAGAGTGCGACAGGAACATACAAGCTGTATTATGATTGCTGTAAACCACTGACATCTAGGGATGGGTAAGAAAAATGCACATTTGTCTCTAACTCAAAGAATTCATATTTAATGGCACATAATATTCACCTACTTTTTACCATCTCATACATAACTCACCAAGTTTTTTCCTTTAATATGCACAGTTGTCTCCAATTTCTGACCTACGTGGATTGTAAATGACCTTGTGTGCTTTAAGTTAGCAAAGCGGAGTCAAGCACCTATGTCACATGGGCCAGATCCTGCCTGCTTGATGCATTTGTGGTCTATATTATGTTCAGATTCCCCACTATCGAAACTTTCATTTTAAAATATATTAACTCTCAGCTCTTATGCTTGCAATGACAACTTGCCAAATATGAACCAAGTGTAAACCAGTGCTGTACAATCTAACCTTACCTACAATTGCGTTATTGTCTAAATCGCAGTCTGTTAATTATGCATCAATTTACTGAATTGCAGGCACTAGTCTTGATAGCAATCCCTTCTAAATGCTGGTTCCAGTACAATGGCAGATCCCAGGAAAACAACAAAATTAGATTGTGCAGCTTCTTACCTGCAGCTCCTTTGAGACTCTCTCTAAGTGGTTAGTTATCTTTTTTATTAGGTCACTATACATCTGTTCCGAATGCTGCTGGCATACACATTTATACACACAACTGCAGAAACAAATATAGGAACAATGATGAATTTACAACAGTTTGCAATGGAAGGCAGTGAACATTTAAAATATTGCTTTAAATCTCAACTTAGAGGGCAACAAGATGAAGCTTTAACAGTTTGTACACTAAGCCAATGACCAAGGCCCCAATCCTGAAATCTCAGCATGGATCCCCATTGACCTCAATGAAGACCCACCATAATGGAGCTCAGGACAGAATCAGAACCTAATGCTGTCTAGGAAGTAAGGTTGCACTTCTAAGTACATTGGTAATTCTGTCAGGAGTACACTTTGTATGTTTCTCCTTCCATACACAGCATTAAAGTTACCATATTAAGTATATAAGATATACAGCACTGTCAACCAGTCATAAAAATAAAAATAGCAAAACAATTGGTTTTAAACCATCAAAAGACATAAAATTTATTGCCACAGATAAAACTTGGCTGAGTGCCTCAGAATTAGAGCATATTACAATTCTCTGTCCATTGGTCTAAGACTTTTGACATAAAACCACATCTTCACAGAAACGTGAAGTCAAGAGACCATAAATGGTACCTTAATTGCTCATTTTAGGATTTGGTTGGTTTAAGTCAAATCATCACCATTAGTTCTTTTAAAAGATTTTATTTTCCCCCATGGCAACAAAACTACAGATTAGAAATATACGTAAGCAGTAATAAAACAAATACTTACAATACGTGCAGCAAGAACATGCCCTAAGCTAATCAGAAACGTCGAAGATTAGACACAGCTTACCTTTGCCATAATATAGGGTGGATAAAAATTGACCTTTTTTAGCGATGTCGATTAATCGCAGTTAACTCATGCACTTAACTAAAAAAAAATTAATCATAATTAATTGCCGTTTAAATTGCACGGTTAAACAAAAGAATACCAATTGACATTTATTAAATATTTTGGATGTTTTCTACATTTTCATATCTATTGTATTCTTTGTTGTAATTGAAATCAAAGCTTATATTATTTTTATTACAAATATTTTCACCGTAAAAATTATAAACAAAAAAAGTATTTTTCAATTCACCTCATACAAGTACTGTAGTGCAATCTCTTTGTTGTGAAAGTGCAACTTACAAATGTAGATTTTTTGTTACATAACTGCACTCAAAAAAACAATACAATGTAAAGCTTCAGAGCCTACAAGTCCACTCAGTCCTACTTCTTGTTCAGCCAATTGCTAAGCCAAACAAGTTTGTTTACATTTACAGGAGATAATGCTGCCCTCTTCTTATTTACAACCTCACCAGAAAGTGAGAACATGCATTTGCATGGCACTTTTGTAGCCGGCATTGCAAGGTATTTACGTGCCAAATATGCTAAACATTCGTATGCCCCTTGATGCTTCGGCCACCATTCCAGAGGACATGCTTCCAAGCCGACAATGCTCGTGAAAAAAATAATGCGTTAATTAAATTTGTGACTGAACTCCTTGGGGGAGAACTGTATGTCCCCTGCTCTGTTTTACCCACATTCTGCCATATATTTCATGTTATAGCAGTCTCAGATGATGACTGTGTTGTTCATTTTAAGAACTCTTTCACTGCAGATCTGACAAAACACAAAGAAGGTACCAATGTGACATTTCTAAAGATAGCTACAGCACTAGACCCAAGGTTTAAGAATCTGAAGTACTTTCCAAAATCTGAGAGGGACAAGGTGTGAAGCATGCTTTCAAAAGTCTTAAAAGAGCAACTCTCTGATGTGGAAACTATAGAACCCGAACCACCAAAAAAGAAAATCAATTTTCTGCTGGTGGCATCTGACTCATGAACATGCTACGGTCCACATTGCTTTGGATCGTTATCAAGCAGAACCCGTCATCAGCATGGACGCATGTCCCCTGGAATGGTAGTTGAAACATGAAGGAACACATGAATCTTTAGCGCATCTGGCATGTAAATATCTTGCGACACTGGCTACAACAGTGCCATGTGAATGGCTCTTCTCACTTCCAGGGGACATTGTAAACAAGAAGTGGACAGTATTATCGCCTGCAAATGTAAACAAACTTGTTTGCCTGAGCAACTGGATGAACAAGAAGTAGGACTGAGTGGACTTTTAGGCTCTAAAGTTTTACATTTTTTTTGTTTTTGAATGCAGGGGTTTTTTTTGTACATAATTCTACATTTCTAAGTTCAACTTTCATGATAAAGAGATTGCACTACAGTACTTGTATTAGGTGAACTGAAAAATACTATTTCTTTTGCTTTTTTACAGTGCAAATACTTGTAATCAAAAATATAAAATGAGCACTGATTACTCTATCGTGTTGTAATTGAAATCAATACATTTCAAAATGTAGAAAAAAGTCAAAATATTTATATAAATTGTAATCTATTATTGTTTAACAGTGTGATAAATTGCAATTAATTTTTTATCGTGCAGTTAATCACAATTATTTTTTTTAATTGCTTAACAGTCCTAATTTTTTTTTAATTAAAAATCAGGTTTTTAGTTTAAATGGGATATTTTTAGTTTGTTATTTAAATTGTAAGTTCTTACTTTCTAAAAATAAACCTGTTTAAAATGAAATTTGAATTTAATACAAAATACGTTAAGGGCTAAACTTATTATAATCTCCTAAAACATTTAAATAAATAAATAAAATATACTGAACCCATGAGCCTCTATCAAACTTTGAGTTAAAGGCTGGTTTTCTATATTAAGAAAGAATCAGGGGGGAAATATCTAACTTTTGAGGTCAAGCTTTTAAAAAAATGGCACAATAGGTCAAGCCTATGTAACTTCGGAGACTGTCATTTTCAAGAGACCTATGAGAGTAGGAACATAAGCTTCAGCCACTTTCATTTAGGCATATTTGAAAATTTTCCCAGGCTTACCTGAAAATAATCAGTTTAATTCACTTACTACAGTTTATCCCTCTGTTTAATAAATCATTTAGCTGTAAACTTAAAACATGTTTCGATAAGAGAAGTTTATATATCCAAAACATTTAAGGTTGTTTTGTTTAATCAAAGTAAGTTTTCTACTCTAATTCATGTGTTTAATTAAATTTCAGTTACCATCTTAATATAACTTGACACAAATCATGAGCACAAAGTTAATTATCTAGTAAATCAGTATGTCATTCTCCATTTTCTAACAAACTAAAAATGTACAATTATTAATCTGAACATATTAAACTATGTTTGCTTAAATATGTATATAGTTATAAATGTATACAGTTTTGCTTCCTTGGTAGCAAAAAGATGTATCAATTCTAGCAAAAAGGCTCATTTAGTTGTAAACAAACATGTTTTAATGGTTATATTAACTAATAAGAATGCACCTCTCTCTAGAAAATAATTAACATATAAATGGAAAAGTTGGTTTAAATAATTGATTTTAATCAAGGCTTTCTACTTGATTTAAATCGATGATTTAAAAATCAATCCACCCTACCAAAAACTTTTGCTGTTGTATTAATACAATTTGCGTATTTTTTTAATTATGTGAATTTGGCTCTTTTGAAAGTTAATACTACTACTAATCCTTCTAGTAGTGAGAGGCAACATGGACTAATGGATAGAGCAGCAGATTGGAAATCTGGTTCCTACTCCTGTCTCTGCCACTGACCTGCTGTATGATCTTGGGCAAGTCACTACCTCTCTGTGCCCTTGTTTCTCCTCCTCACATTTGGTCCATCTTATCTATTTAGAATGCACACAATTTGCAGTAGGGACTGCCTCTTATTGTGTGTCTGCACAGTGCCTAGCACAATGGGGTTCTGATCCTAGTTGAGGCCTCTAGGTGCTACTACAATACAAATTTATAACGAACTAAAGCCAAACTATAAACGACCTTCTGTACACCTCTGCTGAAGTACCCAAAATCTTGACTACAACTACTCCTGGGGGAATTCTGAACCACTGCGCATGCACAGAATTTATGTCCCCTGCAGATTTCTTTGCTTCCCCACAGAAAAATTCCTTTCTCACGGGGAAGCCACAAGAGCAGTTATGTGACCCTCCCCAGCAGTATGTTTCGGGGGCCCAGGGCAGCCAGCAGAGAGGTAAATCACTGTGGGGCAGAGGGAGAGACTGGAAAAGACCCGGCTGGTGGCTCCTACCCTGCGCCAGGTTCAACTGCTAGTCCCAGCTGGGCTGGGGAGGAAGGGACTTCTTCCCTTGCACAGCATCCGGAGCCGAGTCAGACCCACCCCCAGATTTCTCCCCCGACTGCAGGAAGCTCTGCCAACCCCCTCTCCCCCTCCCGGGCTTCCTGCACCCATTGCTCCTCATCTGCAGGTGGAGGGATCTTTGTACAGGGAGCTGTTCCCCCGTCCGCCCAATGCCCATGACACCATGCATCCAGACACCCTCATACCCAGGCCCTCCCGCTGAGCCTCACCCCCTCCCGAATTCAGAATCCCCACAATGACCCCCCCCCGCACCTGGATCACCCGACGAGCCACCCACACCCAGATCCCGATCCCCACCCCACCGAGCCCCAAGAAGCTGCACCTGGATCCCTACCCCACTGAGCCCCACTGCTCCAGCATCTGGACCCCCCACTGAGCCCTCCATACCCATACTCAAGCTCTATCCCCCCCACACCCAGATCCCCCCTACTGAGCCCCAACCACTTTCACCTGGACCCCCCTGCAGCGTCCCATTACCGTCGTACCCAGAACCCCACAACAAGCTCCTGTGCATCCAGATCCCCACAGACACACACGGATACCCCACTGAGCCACCCACACCCAGACTGCCCCACGCAGAACCTGCTCAACCCACACCTGGATCCCCCCACACCAAGCCCCTCCACACTTGGCTCCTGCTTTGCTGAGCCTGCCCGTCCACACCTGGTGCACCTGGCAAGGAGGGGCAGGGCCCTAGGGTGTTGTGCGCAGAATTTTTAATTTTTTGGCACAGAATGCCCTCAGGAGTATACAACTCTCCAATTCCTTTCTTTGTCTCCCCCCCCCCCCCTCTCAGCAGAGGCTAACAATGCCAATAAACATGCAATATGGATCACACAATGAATCATAGGATAAGATCTCCAAGAACTCAATAACACTGGTGAAATGTCAGGAATTAACCCCAGAGTTTCACAGGTGAAAAAAGGGAAGCCCACTCAGTAACTATGTCATGCTCTCAGGCCACTGAAGACGCATTTTGGTAGAATTGTCATGGCAGACTAATAACTCCTTCAGAACATTACAAAGTATGACAACAATTTTTACTATAGAACACATCTGTCCATCCCCTTCTAGGGCTCCTCCAGTGGCCACCTACACTGCAACTTCCCTATCCAACAGGTCTCTTAAAAACTGCTCCTCCTCCTCTTACATATACTTGGTTTTCAACTCAACTCCCTATAGTTTCTCATGTTTACTCCTCCATACTGAGGAGTTCAATCTTCTAGCATAAAGTCTAAAGAAGGAATGACCAGGTAGAAACATATCATACAATACATTAATGTCAGAAACAACATTTCTGTAATTTGGATGAAGAGAAATGGAGACAGAATAAGGCAGATGAGATTGGTTGTGTCAAACTGACATTTAGATAAAGACAGCACATGGCTGTGGGGTTTATTTGTTCAGACACAGCACAATATGTGGCCACTCCCACAATAAGTGAAGTGGACTGATTCATTTGAAATAGTACGTCATTTTACAAAGTTCTACGTGACATTCTGCAGGAATGTACTTTGAATTGCTGCTATATCTACTCCTGCCCTGAATTTCTGCAATCCTTTATGTAGTTAAACAGCTATAGTTAGACAATGTTAGTATATGAATATAGGTGTGTGTGTTTAAGTTTTTATTTGAAGACTTCTATTTTAGAACTTATTTCCCATTTTCAGATCCTGTTCTCACTTCCCAAGTGCAGGCTGAGTCTGAGTCACCACTGCTCTGATATCACTCTAAGGAAGCTGAAAGAGAATTTTACCAGACTGCTGTTCCTTTTAGCACAGTCCCACACTTCAATGAGAGATTATCAACTCCCCAAATAGAACAATTAGAAGATAATTGAATGGAAAATAATCTGAGATTTGTAAATTTTCTACTGTTGAATAATGGTGATCGAAATTCTAATTTTTAATTAGATTTAAAGAGAGCTTATAAAAAGTACTAGAAGTACAACTGATCCGTCTACCTCAGATTTTCTTCCTCTGAGAGATGCTCTCTACAGATTGTGTCTGTTATTTTTAACTCCTCAGGGATACAGGAAAAATATTCAGTGTATAGGCAGACTTTATGTAAGTACTTTGTGTGTGAGAGAAGGATTGGCTACTTTATTTAGTACAACTTAGGTTTTAAGGTCCAGAAGGTCTTTGTTTTTCCCATCTCTTTCTCAGACAGCAAGAAAGATAAAGATGCGTAGCTATTTATAGATTTGGAGAGGAAAAACGGTCTTCTGGTTAAGGCACTGGACTGGAACAAGAGATGTGCTTTCAAGTCCTGGCTCTCTTACTGAATTCCTGCAACACTTTGTCTCTTCATTTTTGTGTGTCAGTATAAAAAAAAAATATATATATATTCTTTCCCCTATGCTTGATCTACCCCGTCTATTTAGCGTCTATTTATCTCTGTGAGATAAGAATGGTCTCTTACTATGTGTTTGTATGGTGGCTAGAACACTAAGGCTTTGATCTCTGTTGGGACCTGTAGGCACCATCACAATCTGAATACTAATTGTTGCTTCTGAGACTAAAATCCTTTGGGAGCAATTTAAAATTATTTATCCTTATGATTAGTTTCTCATGAAAATATATCATTCATTCAGAAGTGTTCCAGTCCAGTGCCTTAACCAGAAGACCGTTTTTCCTCTCCAAATCTATAAACAATAAACCAATTATTTTTATTTCTAAAGGAGTAAAGAGTTAGTCTAATTATCTGGGGAAAAAAACGGTCTGGATTTGCTGTGTTTATTGTTTATCATAGGTCAATGCTGGTAGGTGCTAAGCTTGTCTTTATTGTTGGCTTTGTGCTCATTTGAGATTTCTAGATGGGGAGAACACCTGTTACTTCTAAAGAATAAAGATTCAGTTACCATCTAATTAATTAAAGTGAACTTATCCCTCTTAATTTTTGATACAGATGTTGCAGTCCAGAGACTGAGGAGAGCATTTTCTAAGAGCAGGGCAGCGGGAGAGAAGAGCAGGGTAGAGGTGATTAATTTTGTAATTATTGAAAAATTATAAATACTTTTATTAAACAGCAAGGCAGCAACAGGCAGTGCCCTAGATGCAATGTGACAGGTAATTTAATTTTCCCCATCTGGCTCTTTTTTCTAAGGACCCAGCTTGGGGAAATGGGGATGGAGAAGTGGAAGGCTATGTCCAAGCGGGGGCAGTAGACAAGAGCTGAGAGGCCATAAGCCTCATGAAATAGAGCTGAAATAGGACTGCATTCCTGGCACCCATGCTTAGAACCCAGTCCTCTGCTAAGGAACATGGAAGGTGGCTTTAATCTGCTGGTGTCACTAGCAAGAGTCAGCCCCTTACCCAATAAAAGCAGCTGCATCTCTCCTCACCAGCTTTTCTCCGACTCCCTGAATAGCTGCCACCCACAGGGCAAAAACTCCCTTTCATCCCAAATTTAGAAATATAAATCACTAATCCTTTTCTAGAGGAGACTCTTAGCACCTTGCAGGATCAGGCTTCTAAGGGTATGTCTACACAGCAAAAAAACACCCACGGCAGTGAGACTCAGGACCTGGGTCAATAGACTCAGGTTCATGCTGCAGGGCCAAAAATAGCAATGTAAGCATTTCGGCTCATGCTGGAGCCTGGGTTCTGAAGCCTGGTGAGGGAAGAGGGTCTCAGAGCCTGGGTCCAGCCCAAGCTTGAATGTTTACACTGCTACTTTTAGCCTTGAAGCGTGAGCTCAAGTCAGTTGACAGAGGCCCCAAGACTTGTTAAGGTGGGGATTTTTTTGCTGTGTAACCATACCCTAAAAGGTTACTTGAGGCATTCACTCAACTTCTTACCATGACGCCTCCCTCAACTGCCATAATTAATGGTGCGTTACACACTTCTGGGTGTATTATACCAAAATTCTGTAGGGGCACCGTATTTTATAGTTTTCACTTATTCAAGATGATCATGGTTTTGCTCTACGTAGATCAAGCATAAATGCATGTATTCCCTGACAGAAGATGCAAGGATATTTTTACAGCTTATTTTTTCCCATTCTAACCACATGAGTAGTAAATGGATTGCATTTTATATAATAAACAAAATCAATAACATATGTAGCTTGTAAGGGAGGATTTTACACATAAATTCAATTGAAAGGAAGTTATGTAGTACTTAAAGGGTTCTTTACCTGTATATTTGTTCATAGGAGATAGGGATGTAGTCACCAGGACTCTGAGTTAAAAGCTGATCTATGGCACCGTCCAACTTTGGCCAATATGTGCTCTTATAATCTTCAATGGTTATAACATTCATTACTGTAAGGAAAAAAAAAAGACAAAGCTGTGTTTTACTGCACTTTTAGCTGAGGTACTCAGAGGCTGGTGAACTGTCAGCAATTTAAGATCACAACTGATAAGCAGGCAGAGAACTCCCTATGAATAACTGCATTTAATTTTTGTCAGGATACACCCATCTTGCACAATAGAGGTTATGCCCTAATTTGTATCTGAGGTTTACAAATGGAAAAGTTGCTAAGTCAGTGTTTTGTGGCCCCAGAAAAGAGTTACCAATTCTGCTGTAAAAGGGAAAATCACCATCCTGGAAGCTCCAATAATGACAAAATGAAACAAACAGAAAGTGGCTCAGTGACTTAGCATATGACAAATTATGCAACTGTGTGGGAAACCAGAATTAAAGATTAACACTAAGCTCTCCCACACCAGAAGAACAAGGGTAGGCTGGGAGCATCAGTTTCCCAGAACACTCCCTCTCAACTGGTATGCGAACCGCACCATCTTACAATGGACCATCAACACTCTTGACTACAAGGTTCATGGGTCAATGCAGCGACAATTTAGGACTTGTCTACATGGTGCATTAGTCCACACTAACTGTAGTGTAAATTCCAATGTGTGCCAGCATATTGTGTATTAATTGGCCGCTGTGGATCCTGCTGGTGCATACTCATACTCATGTCCATTCTGTGTTTCAAAATCTGTGGCAAGTCTCTGGCCCCAAGTCTAAAGACTGACTCATGCTACAGCACTAAATATAAGCTGTGTAGACATTTGGGCTCAGACTGGAGCTCCAGATCTGAAACCCACCCCCTCCCCAGGCTTCAGAGCCTGAGTTCCAGCCCAAGCCTGAACATCTATGCAACTGATTTTAGTGCCATAGCCTGAGCTCAAGTCTCTACACTCACTGCCACCAGTTTTAAAACAGTGTAGACATATCCTAAAAGTTCCCTAGTGTGTGTTGATGTAGACCATTAACACGCACTAGGGAACTTTTTGTGCATGCCAGCAAGGGGCCATATGAGCCAGTTAGTGCACAACACACCAGTGAATATTAGTCTACACTGGCTGGGGTGTAAAATAAGGCACCATGTAGACAACCCCTATATCTTTCAGGGCCTTAGTTCTCCTTCTATAAGAGAAGCATAGTTCACCCATACCTGGCAGGGATGTTGCAGGAAGCAATACATTAAAGATTGTAATGCACTCAGATATTATGGTAATGAGGGACAGAAGTACCTAGGACTATATATACTACTGAGCTCAACCACCATCCCACTTTTGTTCCTTGTGTCCTTTTCCCCCACACACTTTGGGCATCCACACAGGCACAGTCAAGCCCCTAACATCTGAAATTAAAGCTCTCTCTTCTCAGACACAGACGCTTGATTAACTGCCCATGGAACAATTCCAGCTGTTCTAGAATGAACAACACCTTTTCCCTCAAAAACGCATAGTGTATTGCATTAGTAGAACCACTTTGCTAGCTCTTGCTCACAGGGAGCTTGAACACAAGTTCCAACTAGCCCAAAGACACAAATAGTCAATACAATACAATACAGAGCACGTTTTTTACCAAATCTGAACTGATCTGTTCAAAATTGTATTATTATCTGAGCAGGAAGCTTGGTGCAATATCTTCATAAATGATCTGGAGGATGGTGTGGATTGCACACTCAGCAAATTTGCGGATGATACTAAACTGGGAGGAGTGGTAGATACGCTGGAGGGCAGGGATAGGATACAGAGGGACCTAGACGAATTGGAGGATTGGGCCAAAAGAAATCTGATGAGGTTCAATAAGGATAAGTGCAGAGTCGTGCACTTAGGACGGAAGAACCCAATGCACCGCTACAGACTAGGGACCGAATGGCTAGGCAGCAGTTCTGCGGAAAAGGACCTAGGGGTGACAGTGGACAAGAAGCTGGATATGAGTCAGCAGTGTGCCCTTGTTGCCAAGAAGGCCAATGGCATTTTGGGATGTATAAGTAGGGGCATAGCAAGCAGATCGAGGGACGTGATCGTTCCCCTCTATTCGACATTGGTGAGGCCTCATCTGGAGTACTGTGTCCAGTTTTGGGCCCCACACTACAAGAAGGATGTGGATAAATTGGAGAGAGTCCAGCGAAGGGCAACAAAAATGATTAGGGGTCTGGAACACATGACTTATGAGGAGAGGCTGAGGGAATTGGGATTGTTTAGTCGGCAGAAGAGAAGAATGAGGGGGGATTTGATAGCTGCTTTCAACTACCTGAGAGGTAGTTCCAGAGAGGATGGTTCTAGACTATTCTCAGTGGTAGAAGAGGACAGGACAAGGAGTAATGGTCTCAAGTTGCAGTGGGGGAGGTTTAGGTTGGATATTAGGAAAAACTTTTTCACTAGGAGGGTGGTGAAACACTGGAATGCGTTACCTAGGGAAGTGGTGGAATCTCCTTCCTTAGGAGTTTTTAAGGTCAGGCTTGACAAAGCCCTGGCTGGGATGATTTAGTTGGGGATTGGTCCTGCTTTGAGCAGGGGGTTGGACTAGATGACCTCCTGAGGTCCCTTCCAACCCTGATATTCTATGATTCTATGCTCCTCAGAACACAAGAAAAGACTGCTTCAGTTCCAAATAGCTCACATTCTAAATGGACAATATAAATTCGAACAACATTTTGGAGAGGGATATAGTCAGAAACCATGAAGATATTTTAAATACTTTTCTAAATATAGCATCACTACTCTCTTTGGTGGATTAACATTGATGGGATTAGTGAACTAAACATGTTTTAGTTTGGGATTTGAATGAAGGGAGCATGGTAGCTTAATGCAACAAGAGGGAGAGGATTTCAGGCAAAACTTGCAACATGAAAGAAGACAAACACAAGAAAAGAAAGATACAAAGGGCATGGAAAGAGGTGCGAGTCAAGCAAGTGTCTGAATAGCAGCATCAAAAGCAGAACTGAATTGAAAAGATTTCTCAGTAGAATGGTACTTTACATATTTCTTCTTATAACATTTAGTTCAGATTCAGCAGTTTTGCTGACTGTATAACACTAAAATGCTATACCGTCAGCCCATCTTGGCAAAACTATTTGTTCACCCTTGCTTAATATTTGTTATACATTCTGTTCATTGCAAATGGATGGACACCAGAGGCTTTAGGACACTCAGCAGTGTACATAGCACGCCTATCGAGTATTGTAGCCTGCCTTAGCCACAGCTAAACCTTCGTTCTGACAGCACGCCACTCTACTCCAGCAAATCAATGAAGTAAAAGTTATCTATGACATTAAGGACTAGAGCCACAAAGGGGACAAACTCAGCATTACAATATGTAACATTTAGGTGCCCTGTCACTTAGTGGAGTCCACGGCCCCAAGCTGGGCACCCAGGCTCCCTATGCAATGCATGGGGAACGTGAGGCATCTAAGAATGGGATCCACAAAAGCCAGCAAGCTGAGTGGGGAGCCGCCTAAGCTAGCCAACAGCAAATGCTGAGGAGAGCAATATAAATAATTAAATAGTCATTGGAACATAAGACCCAAGTTCAAATCCCCACCTCCTAGGTGAACGCCTCCACCACTGCGCTAGAGAATCAGTCTCGCTCTCTCTGGCACAAGGACTATTTAAGTAATTTATACAAAGTGGAACAGCTTCAACCTGACAGAATAATACCCACACCAGTGTTTAGGGAGCTCACTTGGGAGGTGGGAGACCTGGGTTCAAGAGCCTGATCCAAATCAGACAGAGAGGGGGACCTGAACCCAGGTCTCTCACATCCAAGGTGAATGCTCTAACCCCTGGGTTATTGTGCATAACAGAGAGACCACCTCCTTCTCCTTGGATTTTTATGCATGGCCTGATCCAGTAGGATGCCTGGGAACATGTCTACAGGATTTGGCCCTGCAGGAGAGACAGGCAGGGAAATATTTAGTCTGAGCATCCTCCAAGGCTTAATCACCAAACTGCTCAGTGGTGTCAGGACCAAGGCAGCTGTGTACATGGCCAGCAACAGAAATTTAGGTGTCATGGGAACTTTACAGGTGGGAATTTAGGCACCTACATAGTTAGGTGGCAGCTGACTAGGGGGGTTGAGGATTTAATTTCTGGATTTAGGTGCTCAAAGTGGCAATTAGGTACCTAAATTGCTTTATGGATCTAGCCCTAAGACTCATAATAGTCTAGTATCTGGGTAGCTGTTCTCAACAAAACCTTATATGTAGCTTTGGACAGCCTAATCTGCTTGTATTAAAAAGAATGGTTTGGTCACCAGAGAAAGAAGAGACTTTCATTTAAAGTCTCATCCAAAAAATAATGCCTCCATGCAGCCAACACTAAATATTAGTCCAAATCCTCATGTAGATTTGAGTGTAATTAACTATGCTACCCTGACAAAGAGATCGAGTGACCTAAGAACTAATTTGGAACTACATGGAATCAATTTTTAAATGGAGTGATAAGTCCTATCAACTTTTTTGTGGCACCACAAAGAATTAAGCACTAGAAACCTGAAAACCTATTCCGTTTCAGTCTCGAAGAGGGCAGGGGTAAAGTGACACTTTTATGAATAACCCTCTGACAGAGGTAGCGGTTGCAGTGTACTAACTGGCTAGAACCTATAGATTCTGGAAGTATTGTGTAGTAGATTTTAATTAGAAAGCTATTACAAACCCTATTTAGTCCATTCAGGAGTAAAGTGCACTTGATTGCCACCACACAGCTTTCAACTGAAGCCAACCAAAATGTTTATATATCAAACGGTCCAAGGACTGTGCACTGTCCAATTCCTGCTAATTTTATTCTTTCCCTTAAAAAAAATAAGTTTCTCCAGAATTCTAAGAACTCTTGCTCTCATATACATCACATCCCTTTCTTCCCACCCATATCTACTCACACCGAATAAATGCTGAATTAGCACAATACTGCCTGATGATCAGTTCCGTAGGGGTAACATCAAGATTTTGCACAAACGGTTTTATCGAGAGCAAGGGCAGGATGGGGATGGGAAGATCAACTCAGTGAGTTTTTAGGGTAATAAT